TCGTTGAAGTACTCAAGCCCTACCACCACGGCAAGGTGGTCAAAATTTGGCAAACGGGTTCTAGCGTGGACACATCATTTTGTGATCCAAGTGGCGAACACTTATTTGTTCTCGTTTATCTATGGCTACTGCTTCCTTTGAGCCAGTCTTGTGTGAACGCGAATGATTTAACGTCGCAATTTTCTTTTGCAGAAGTAAAACAACGTAACGCAGTGAAGAACTCTGGGCCTGAGAGGTCGCCATTCAATTGCGTGTCTATATGTATTGGTATCTGATCAGCTATTTTCAAGCAATAAAACTCTGGACAGGGCTGTGGACTTCAGCTGACAATCATCACTTGGTTAGTAAAAGCCAAAAAGGTCAGTCGCGTGCGCAGGGAGAGACGGACCTTATCCCAAAGGTGATTTTAAACAGGAGGTACACCGGGAACACTAAGTCAGTGATAAGTGCTAATAAAGGAGTTAGTGTGTGGTGCACGCACATGCATTAGGAAATCGAACCATACACACGATGGCTAGCACAGTTCAAAGATAGTAATCATGTTCAGAATTAACAAATTTAAAGGTCACGCCTACGTTCGGAGAATAACAATACCCATCACGTCCGCCGTTCAACACGCCTAAATATATGCACACAGTTCCAAATACTGCAAGCCTAAGTAAACAATGTCAATAAACACAATTTGCTGTTCAAGTACATGACTCGAAACGGCGACCGATGCGTACGGTCAATAGTGTTAGTGGTGCACAAACAGCATACTGGATCAGTGGAGTGTGATTCAGCTCACATTCGGAAGACCTAACACGAGCCGATAACGAGGACTTAAACCTTATCTCTGGTTCACACTAAAAGGTGACGCTTTCCGCCACGTGACATGATAGCTCCCGAGGCTTTCGCCTATCAGAATAGTCATGGGCAACTCTGGATGAACGGAATATTGCCATTTCAAACCAGTGTTTCGAGGTGGCAACTGCAAAAATACTAATTTGATATTTTGAGCGACCAATACCCACGAAGCGGTAGTGGGGTGTTCGGTAGCCTGTTTTCCCTGACATGGGAGTGCATCCATCACCGATCCCAACTGAAACGTGTTTATCTCACGTATCTTCAGGTACACATGGAGACACACTACTTGTGCTAGTTATGAGCATTAATTCCATATGCGCGGTAGACGACCGCGTACTGATGTCATCTAGACTGATGACGAATTGAAGCAAACTACAAAGCTCAGTGAACAGATCAACCTCCAACCTTGCAGTAGCACCTTAGACTGCTGCTATGAAGCACACACCGAACCGTGTAGCAGAACTATTTAAAGGGTCTGATTGAAGAACAGAAATACGATGGACGTGGTCGATGTGCGTGTGCAAACGTCCCGGGTATTCAAATCCCTGAGGTGTTACGGGCGGGTAAACAGAGTTCAAGCAACACATTAATCACGGACATAAAAGGATGATGCAGAGCATCACTGCCTGAGACCAGTGGATGTAGTGAACTCAGTATAAAAAGTATGAAAAGAGGCAGACATGACCTTTTGAAAGACGACAAATTAGAAGGCACAGTCTTCATCGACAGACACCGCCACAGAAGCTATCAGTGAGGCTAAAAAGCACCCTATAGATCAAGAAGAAATGGCCATTGTTGGTCGTCGGGAGCAGTGGTGTAGGTCCAGCACTTATCGCAAAGTAAAAATATGAAGGACGCATCCCCGGCCAGGGAGAAACTCAGCTGGATCCTCACGAATCCGATTCTCTCAATGATGGATCAGAATACATCAGCCACTAGGCTGATGCCCTGGTGGTTTTCGTATGATGTTTTTGCACCTCTTCGAGGTATCACCGTCGAGGCGCCTGATTTTGTCGGTATTCCGTCTTGGTTCCGTTTCGCAGTAAAGTCACCAGATTAGCTACAAGGGACTTGCCACTCTCTTTCAAGTGCGGAACATGTTAACCGTCTGGATCAGGTGCTCGGGTTCATTTGGTCCTTCCAAAGATTGAGCTAATGAGACCCACTGTTCAAATGACGTTCCTGTGAATGAATTGAGATCTCATCCCATTCGGAGATCATTTCATTGACATCAACTGTGCTCGAATCAGTTGATCGGACTATCTGAAACAGGCGTTGGGCGTTTTTACTGCCTGGAAACAAATGTTTATCACATAAATGTAGAAGTCGCTTTCCATTGTTTGTGTGGTAAGCGTCAACCCTGAATCGGCCGCCAAGCTGGGCCTGCTCGGAATTTAGTCGGTAGACCTGTCAGATTAACGATTTCTGAAATCCTGGGCAACCGAAGCAGCTGTGACAAATATCGATAGAAGCTGTGTTTCTCGACCTTAGGGCTGCCGCCTGTCAAAGCGTATACTAATAAAAAATAAACACCGGTAACCACACCGGTGTGTTGTTCTCAAGTGAACCAGTCAACCTAAATGCGCAGATTACTTATTGGAATGAAGGCAATAAAATGCATTCAGCCCTGGGACTGTAGATACGACGAGCCATTGCTTAAGGATGGCAAGACTTCGGGAGGATAAAATGTGGGGAGTATTAGATCGTACCGAGCCGAAATCAGACCAAACTGAAATCTTGTGTGCACAANAAGAGGAAATGGGTCTGAGCAATGGAAGCCTGTTGTCCAATTTAACCTAGTACAGATATTCAGGGCAGCAATGTGGAAGAGATTCGTTGAATTTAAGATGGGTTCATTTGGATTTATTTCACTCGATTGGGTGATTTACCGCTAAAGGTATCAAATGGAGGACCTTGGATGATGGATGCTTGGGAAGGAGCCGGTGAATGAAGAGCTATAATAGCGAACGATGGTTAGCCGCTGCTCAGGCCGAAGAAGAGGATGTGGTTGAAGTCACCCACCTCGAGCATTTCACTGAAACGCCTGACCCATAAGGCTGTGAGAGGATGCAGGGTTTTGTTCGGGGGCCCTGCCCCTAGCCTCTGACTCAAAAGTCTCAACCGACAGGCAAGGGCTGTTAGGCTTTTTTGAGACCCTTCTGGGTGCCAATGACTCAATAGTCCAATCCATTTGGTTGCAGACGGCTGGTCTGGTCCAAATGGAAGCAGGTAGTAAAACAACTGTCTGATTCCCAATGCGGCTGCGCACAACATGTACCTTCTAAGCAGCACCAGACTCTTCAAATCTTCGACAGTATTGAGTAATGCGCTGGCGGTCACTGTCAAGGATCGGTGTGCAGTTTCTAAAGTCGACCTGCACTAACCCGTCCATCCTCGAGGGAAGGCATCATCCCTGCTTCAGTGGCTTAGCTTCAGTCGGCTTGGCACCTGCCTTCACACTGTCTCAGATAGCAGTACGGATTCACCTCAAGGTCACCCCGCAATGCGATTTCTCGCAGTACGGGGACGCGCTGTCCTTTGTGGGACCGCTTCCTGTTGGCGTCCCTGGAATGGCAAACCTTAAGAAACTGAATTCCAGCCAGTGTAGCCCCCAGAATGCCTCCCTTACTGGAGCATGAACACAATTACAAGGTGATAACTTTAGACCGGGAAAATCCGGCTGGTGTGTGCACACTGACACGGAAGAACCTAGACATTCCTGGACCGATTTTGAGACTAAAAAGGAGTGTACGCTACCTGATATATATATATATATATATATATATATCTTCTACATTGCCCGTCCACGACACTACTTGCTGGTTTACAGCTGCTGTGTGTTATGATGTCGGTGACGATGACTGATGTGATCTTCAGAGCTGATAACGTTCGTTTCCAATCCATTACGCTAGAACACTTAAGAAACTAACATCCGAGTTTCCAACGTGTCTTCCAAACCGGTGACGGCGTTTAATGGGGTTAGTACATAGTCAGGAGAATCGACAATATAACACATCAAGCCAAGTTATGCATGAGCTAGTTGGGTTCGTGAATCCGGCAGTATAACCGAAACGCCCGCACAAGAACAAGCAGAGCTACAAGCATCTTGTCATCACATTTTGCATGCGAGTAGGGATCAGTTCAATAAAAGAGGTGTTTTCCATAATCAGACAGGAGAGCGGTATCACGTGACCCTGGATGGCGGATATAAGCAGGCCAACGAAGAGGAATGGGTTCCTGGGTAAGTGCATTTAAATATCCTTTTCGCACAAGAAATAAAAATTTGCTTCAAAGAACAGCAATGCAACTGCATTATTCATGAAGTGTGCTTTGAAATACGCAGCTCTCGAGCATTTTGTTGGCAAACAAGATTGGACGGAGCTTTCGAATTCCTTGACCATAGGACGTCATAACAGCCTTCGTCGTGCACGAGTAGTATTGTAGATCAGTGTCAAGTAAATTCATTGTAGGAATTTTAGTTTCCACAAGAGTCATGCTTCACAGAGGCAGCCAGTGGCGTTCGAAAGTAGCTTCGTCGCTAAGCTGTCCGTCCTAGCTGGGTTTTACCGATTTTCCGAAACAAATCGACGAAAGTTTTCATTATGTGCACTGGCGATAAGCTCACAGAGTGATGTCAACTAAAAGTGTTTTGGAATTCAAAAAGCGGTAGATAGCGACGCACTCTCTGATTCGCCTAAGTTGAACTTCTATGTGGAGAGCACTTAAATATTGAACATGTCGAGAGCCAATCTAAAGAAACAACGAAGCTAGAATACGTTTGGTCAGTGATTACTAGGATCCACACCAGAATTTCGAATCGACGAAATTACTGTGCAACAAAACTTAAGGAATATGCTCTTTCAGACCGGCTAGTGTAACCTTAAAGAGAGACAGTCATGGTCTTCCAAAACTCGTGTAAATGAACTCACCAGCCGTACCACCTGCAATAAATCAACAACACTTGGCCTAGCTGAGGTTGTTCGACTCACGAGTATACCTGTGAAACATCGATACAAATCGTTGCAGCTGGAGACGACACGCCCAGGAAAAAGTCAATTCAACAACGGGAAAATACCCGATTCAGAGATAAACACCGAGTTATCCAAGAAAACTGAGTGACAACACCACATGCCAACCAATCCAAGAATACTGACCTTGTTCCGGCCGTCTCTTGGAGAACTTTGGCATCCACAGATTGATTGGACGATATGACTGCCTCAGAGGAATACACGGCCACAGGAAGTGTGTTTGACGAAGATTCTGACTTTCCTATTTCGCTTCCCAAAACATTCTGAGAAGTAATGTTTAGTGGTTTGTTGGCTGTAGAAAAGACAGACATGGAAAGACAAATGCATTAAATGGATGCGACCACAGTATTCGGGCGAGAAGAGTAACCGACTAGAAAATTAAACCGCTGAAGTACAGACATTTGTGGGGTGAACATGGAGTCATTGCTGTAACAGCCAACCTAGGAGAAAACTGACAGTAGCCACTCGACTCTACAAAACCATCATCTCGCTCGTACTAGAAAGAGTTATACAGTCTACACGGGATTAGAACAATTTTTCGATCGTACATGTTTTCTTGCGTCTACAGATCGGGTATACAGCAGAATAAAAAGCCGTGTACAACAGGTGAGCCGACGAGACTTGACGCCAAACGGCTGCACATGGGCCGAGAAATTACCGAGATACTGGAACTTAAATGACTTTCAGGTCAGTGAGGTACTGATACTTATCAAGTATCACAGTACGGGAGAACAAACAAGCCGTTGTATCGCTAGGGATTCTGTCATTAGGTTAACTTGAGCAAGCTACTTCTAAACTATATCCGAACTCAGCATTGATAGTTGTGGGTTCAAACAGTGATTTCCAGATGCGATAGAGACACCCATTGGCTTGAATACCTCGTACATATTCTGCCCGCTGAAGCTATGATTCGAGGAATAGGGCGGCTACCAGTTGAAAATGAAACTTCGAAATAAATGTGCATCAATTGCCCTGCCATTCAACAGAATATGAAAAGGTATCGAACACAACATCTCCACGGAAGTTCTGCTTACTCGCATCAAGGTTCCGATTATCGTCAGAAGACGACAGAGAAGAAATTACTGTATAAGGTGAAGCTGAGTTCTCTATAACGACTGCATTCATACCGAGCGTATTTGAGAATGCCGAGGCTTTATTTGATCAAGTCAATCACAGGCAAACAGGAATAAATTAGACAGGTACTAATGAAAAAAATTATATCCACGAACCAGGAGCGGCCACATGCCGCCAACCGGGATTCTTCCATATGAATCCAAAACTGTGTGGTAATGACTTCGGTAAAAAGGGGTAGATAACTAGCTGAAATGCGGCTAAAATACTTTTAACTACCTTCCAACATTTCATTA